GAACGCTACCCCCCTGCGAGGGCCTCCCCTGGTGGGCGTCCTCGGCGCACGCTCCCCCTCGGGCCCTCCTCCTCTCCCTCCTCCTCCTCCTCCTCCTCCTCCTCCTCCTCCTCCTCCTCCTCCTCCTCCTCCTCCTCCTCCTCCTCCCCCTCCTCCTCCTCCTCCTCCTCCTCCTCCTCCGCCGCCGCCGCCGCCGCCGCCGCCGCCGCCGCTGCCGCCGCCGCCGCTGCGCGCCACCGGAGGAAGAGGATGGAGGGGGACCGGCGGCGCCACATCGCGCGCCATCTCTGCAACGCCAGCCGTGAGATTAAGTCGGGCGTGTCCCCCTACAGGGGAAGCTTGGACGAAATCTATTAAAACGAGACCCCAAAATTACCTAACAGATGCCAAAAAATTGTCAGAAGGGTCCTCCCTGGACTGTTTTTAGCTATTCTGGAATAGTGGAGGATGACGATTAATAAATGACCAGGGGTCGTGTTCACGCGGCGGCGCCCGGGATGACGATTAGAAAAAACCGGCGGCGGGCTGGAAAACTATGTTTTGAATCGTTCTCCTCCAAGCAGAAAGTTCTGCAGAAATAGCAGGAAGCTATTTTTTTAATCGTTCTCTCCCATTTGTTTTAATCGTCATCCCGCATTGCCCCCCCTGTAGAGGGACAGGCCCGATTAAAACCGTCAGACCGCGAACGGCATGGGGCAGGCACCCGTGGCTCCGCCCCCGCCACGCCAGGCGGGCGAAGGGCGCGCCCTGAACCGATCCGAAACACGCGCGCGCCAGCACGTCGGCGGGCCGCCGCCGCCGCCAAGGCGACCGTCGTCGCCGTCGTCGTCGTCGTCGTCGTCGTCGTCGTCGTCGGCGTCGGCGTCGGCGTCGGCGTCGTCGTCGGCGTCGTCGTCGGCGTCGTCGTTGTCGTCCAGCTCTCCTCCTCCCCCAAGCCTCTACGACATCTGGGCGGCATGAGGGGGCAGCAGATGTCGGGTGGGTGTTTGGGTGGAGGAGGTCACTTGCGACTTGCGAGGATTCAGAGCTGTCGAGCAGCATAGTTGTTGGACTGAGAGTCGCCATTATGGTTCTCACCCCCACGGCAGAGCTCAAAAGACTGAGCCACTCGAGGTCCTCGATCGACCGACCATCGCCCTCCCTCATTGCGACAAGCACCATGAAAAGGGAAGGCGAAGGGATGAGAGAGCCAAGGGGGGAACACACAGCAACAACTCTCGGCGGAGAGGGGGAACACGAGGGAGAGGGGGAGGAAGCGAAGGAAGCGAAGGAAGCGAGTGGAAGGAGCAGGAAGCAGGAGGATGGAGACATGAGTGGGGAGACGATCGATCCTCGATCCTTGATTCTCGATCCTCAGTCCTCGATCGATCCTTAGTCCTGGGGGGGGTGGCGCTCCTTCCCCGCCGTTTCCCCGAACTTCCGGCGCGACTGCCCCACCATCCCCAGACGACGAGAACGAGGACGAGGACGACCCACAGATGTCCAGGACGACGACGAGGACGAAGGCCAGGGCGACAACCCACCCCTCCAAGATTGAGCCCCGGACCTCTCCTGGAGTGCGTCTTGACCAGACATCCTAGGCGAATCCAGCCTTGGGGACGGAGCCCAAAACGAGCGAAAGCCTCAACTCCCTGCCCCCACGGACGACGGCGCCCCCCTGCACCCCGCGCTATCTGTCACGCCGCTTTCTGGCCTTGTCGCCGTCGACTTGCTGGACCCTCGATCGGCGGCGGAGGGGGTGGTGATGCGACGCGCGGCTTCGCGCGGCGCGTGCTCGATGACGGAGAGGGAGGGAGGAGGGAGGGGATGGTAGAGAACGAGCAAGGGATAGGGATTAACAACAGCAAAAACATAATCGCTCGGACGTCCGACCGGATTTCCTGGATCGGCGCTGGACCCCACTCCCGGGCGCGCGGAACGCGCCAGGGGAAGCGCCGGAGGCGCCGCCAGGGGGGGCCCAGCGCCGATCCGAACAATCCACGCGGACCTCTGATCAACTATGTTTGTGCACTTTTCCCGTGTGGATCTCTGAAACGATTGGTCTTGCACAATTACTTTTTCCACGAAGAGAGGAAGAACGGAGGAAAAGGGAGGGCCAGGGCGGCGGTGAGGCTGGGAGGGATGGGAGGAGGAGGGGAGGGGAGGACAGTGCGAGGGAGAGGGGGGGAGGGGCGAGAAGTGGGGGGGGGAGGGAGAGGAAGGGGAGAGGGGGGAAGCAAAAGGGGGAGGGAGAGGGGGGAGGGGGAACAGGGGCGATGGAGGCGGCTGATGAGGGGGAGCCATCCCGCGAAGCAACGGCGCGCGAGGCCGGGGCGCGCGGCAGGGGCGCGCCTGCACAGGGCCCTGCGGCGGCGGGGAGCAGCCGCGGCAGGCCCCGAGGGGGCTGCCGGGAAGCGAGGGGACGCGGCGCCTGAACGGCGGGCGGCGGGCGGGGGGGGGCCTGAGATCCTGTAGTGCTGGGTCCTCGTTCTGAATACGCAAAGCCACGCGTCCTTTCTGCCACCGTGCTCTTCCCCTCGCCCGTCCTCCCATGTTTGCCTTCCGCATGTCGTCGTCGTCATCACCATTACCATCGTCATCAGCATGAACGTTATCATCATATCCAGCACACCATCATGATCATCAGCATCGTCATCACCATCCTTATTACCACGTACCACCACCATCACAAACTCAGCAGCATCACCATCACCATCGTCATTATCAGCAGCATCAGCACCATCGCTACCAGCCGTCATAATCATCGCTATCATCCCATTACTCTTTATCGTCATCGTCATCCAAAACCTCGTTATCATCATCATGAGCACGGTCGTCGTCCGTATCGCCAGCATCGTCATCACCACTCCCATCATCGTCGCCACCGTCGCCCGTATCCTCGTCATAATCATCATTACCCCAAGATCCCGGCAACAACCATAAATACTCTGACGGTGGGACTCCACACGGGAATCGATTTAGTCTGCCCCGGGCGATTTGCCTTACGTCTGGCGGAGGCTCCCTTCCGCCCTGTCTTTCCTCCTTCTCCTCCTCCTTGTCCTCCTTCTTCTCCTCTTGTTCGTTCTCGTCCTACCCGTTGCATTGCTCATCCTCTTCCTCTCCCGCCTCCTCCTCCTCATCCGCCCCCTCCACTTCGCCCCTTTTCCTCCTCATTTTCCTCTTCTTCCTCGGCCATTTCCTTGCCCTCCTCCACCTCCGTCCCCTGCCCCCTCCCTCCCCGCGAGCCGCTGGCGCGCGAGACCAAGCCGTCGGGGCAACCCCCGCGGGTTCCGAGCGCGGCGCCGCCGCGCTCGAACGGGGGGCAGCGCGAAGCCCAGCTCTGCCGCGAGATGCTCCGCCTCTGCCCGGGAGCTCTCCGCCCCGACGTCGAACTCCAGGAGCGCTTTCCGCAAGGATGCCAGCGGCCCGCTGCTCGTCCGCAGCCACCGCTGCTCGTCCGACACGCCCGCGCGACCAGATTCGTCGTCCCTCGCGCGGCCGATGGTGGCGCCCTTGCGCAGCTTTTGGCCCTCTTCTTCTTCTTCTTCAGCTATTCCTGCACTGGCGTGTATCGCACCTCCATGCCGACGTGGGGAGGTAAAGCGCGGTGGATGCCCCCCGTCTTGTGCACGTTCGGGACGTTCAGGAGGCGCCGGTCCGCGTCTAATTTTTGAGCCCCTGAAGCCTGGAAATGGAGGAAGTATCAGGCGGGAGCCTCGTCTGTGAGTGAATTGCGAGGAAGTCTCAAGCGGGAGACCCTTCCCTATGGGGCCCGCCGCTCATGCTTTTAAATGCGAGCGGGTCGTCGGAATCTTGTGATTGTCATCATGTTTTGGCCCCTGAAGCCTGGATACGGAAGAAATATCAAGCGCGAACTTCGTCTGTGAGTAAATTGCGAGGACGTTTCAGGAGGGAGCGCTGTCCCTAGGGGGCCCGCCGCTCATGTGTTTAATGCGAGCGGGTCATCGGAATCTTGTACATAACCGTCGTCATGTTTGGACCCTTGAGGCCTGGATATGGAGGAAGTATTGTGCGGGTGGCGGCCGCGCTGTACATAGCGCTGGATCTTCGCGCGTGTCACGGACGCAGTGACACGCACGACGTGCAGGAGTCCACGTACAAGCGGCCGCACCACCACTTCGGGCGCGCCCCCATCGCGTTGTACTCCAGCGATTTCCTGCAGCTGACTCCCACGGGCAGCATCGGCCTCCTGGCGGACGTGAATGAGCTCCCGGACGACGGTTCCTACAAGTACGCGGAACCGCCGACGATGGAGACTCAGCTCCCCATCAAGGTCTTCTCTCAGTCCCCTGCGTCTTCGAGCTGAAAAGCACGAAGCACCTCGAGCCCGGGGACCCGCTGATCATGTTCTTGGGCTGCACGCGCGAGGGCAAGCTCTTCCCGCCAGAGGTTTGGTCCGCCTGGGGAACGACGTTGGACGACCACGGCGTCCTGGACCCTCAGCACCAGCGCGGGAACTTTCGGCTCGGCTACGGCATGGGCATCTATTGGGAGACGCTGGCGAGGTGGATCAACACGTGCGCTCGTCCCGACGCGCGCCGTCTGGGCGTGCCCGTCGTTTCCTTGCAGGCCCTGGGCGAGTGCAACGCGATTCCGGGCGATCCCGACGCGGACCGGCGCCTCTGCACGGAGGAGGGGGGAGGAGGAGGGAGATGGATGAGGAGGAGGAGCAGGAGGAGGAGGAGGAGGAGGAGGAGGAGGAGGAGGAGGAGGGGGCCTGTCTCCTCTCCATCCCTCGCCTCCTCTTCATCCTGTTCCTCCTCCTCTCCCCCTGCCCCCCGAGACGCACGCGCGCACGCTCCCTGTGCGGACCCAAAAAGAGGTGAAGCTGTGTAGCAGTTGCGGCGACTCGTAAAGCACCGCGACGCACAGGCAGAGCAGCCGAAACAAACGCAACGAAGTGCAACGAACTGCGAAGTGGGGCTGGACCTAAACGGTGTTTTGGCGATCTCGTGGGCCGTGTTCGTTTCGACTTCGTTTTGCGGCAGAGGCGGACTGCAGACGAAACCAAGACGACAACGAAAACAGGACGAAAACGAAAACCATGAACGAAAACAGGACGAAGACAGGACGAAAACAGGACGAACACGAAAAACATAACGAAACCAGGACGAAACCAGGACGAACCGAGGGCAAACGAAAACAGGACGAAAAGAGAAGCACCGTTTGAGGCTCAGCCCTGCTGCGACGCAGCGGGGCGGCCACGGGGCGGCAACGGCCCACGAGGCGGCCACGAGGTACTCGCGAGCCGACCCTCCGAGCTCGCGCCGGGGCCCCTCTCAAGTCAGCGTGCTGGTGTTATGCCGGGCCTGTCCCCCTGCAGGGGGACCTTCGACGGAAAGTAGAAAATGCCCCACAAATAATCAGAGAGCAGTCCAAAAATAGTCTGGGGACTATTTTCTGGATAGTTGTTAGCCTTTGGGGGGCATTTTGGGGTACTTCTTATGTTTCGTCGAAAATGCCCCTGTGGGACACGCCCGACATAATGCTGGTACACTGTGCGACGGCAGCCCGAGCCGAGGGCTCGATTACAGGCTCGTGTTTGGTCCAGGCGAGTCACCTCATCAGACTCCGGCTCGACATCTTGGGCACACTCTTCCCCACGATCTTGATAACAACGCTCTGCATCCTCCCCGTTGCAGTACTACGCTAGAGCTGACTTAAACAACTCCCGCCGCGTACATCTGTCTGCAGGGAGCGGTCGAAACTTACATTGCGCGTGTCAGAAACTTGCTCAAGAGACACGATCGAGACCGATGTTGCTGGCCCTTTAGCATTGAGCTGTGACAGATGCCGACCTGCAAGCAACATCCCACACGCATCGAGCACAACGGCTCACCCCACGGGCCGCTGCGCACCTTGCCACCGCCTCTTCACACCTTGCTCCCGTTCGGCAGGCATGCCGCTCAGCACGAAGGCTCGCAACTGCTGGCGGGGCGATCCTCGGCGGAAGATGGCGTGGTGATGCCACCCCCTCATGGCGCGTGCGCGGGACGGCGAGGCAGGCGCTTGTGGGCGGCGCGCACAAGGGGGTAGGGGAGGGGGGGGAGTCTTCTTAGAAGGAGCCTGCTTCTTCGAAGGCGCCGGCCTTACATCTATGGGGAAGGCCCGCGCCTCCTGAGAAGCAGGGGTGCTTCATTAAGAAGCCTTCCCCCCTCCCCCCTAGCCCCCTCTGCGCGTGGCCGAGCTTGGGGGGAGAGGGCCTCGACCCGGCGGCGCCCTCCAGGCGCGGGCGCACCGCCACCGCCTCGGGAGGCCTCGTGGGCGAGGCAGCTTCCGATGCAACCGATGCTCGGGGCTCTCTGCTGGCCCGGGCCCGCCCAGGCCCAGGCTGCTGCAGGATCCTTTGGGGCGCCCGACATGGGTACAGAAAAATAGGCACAATGCCCAAGAACAAATGTTGTCCCACACCGACAGCGGCCGCTGTTGGGCAAGCGGCCTTCTGTCTCAAATGGACACAGGCCGCGGCTGCGCGGACAGCGTTTCCTGTTCAGAATGAACAGGAACTGCTGTTGGGCTTTGTACCCATTCTTTCTGTACCCATGTCGGGCGTGCAGAATCCTGCGCGCTCCGGCAGGATCCTGCACCCAAGCCGGGCGCTCCTCTGGGAGGGCGAACAATGACATCAGCATGAGAACTCGGAGGCCCGCGCGGATTTTTCATTGATCGGCGCGGGACCCCCCTGGCAGAGCCTCCAGCACCGCCCCTGGCGCGCTCCGCGCGCCGAGGAAGGGGGTCCGGCGCCGATCCGAGACATCCAAGCGGACCTCCGAGTGGTTGTGCTTACGCCCTTGTTCGCCCCCCCCCCCTCTCCTGCAGCCCCGGCTCGGATCCTGCGAGATCCGGGGCCCTGACCGGCCCCCCAGCTCTGGCCATCGCTCGGACGTCCACTCCCTGTGCTATTTTCGGTTTCGTGCGTGGCTTTTTCGCCAAATCATCAAGGATGCTCCTCGATGGTCCTCGCCGCAAGAAAAATGCACACGTCCGAGCGATGCCAAGAGCTTCTGCCTGGACCCCCGCCTCCCTCGGGCCCCGACCGCTGCCCCTGCGGGCAGCGCTCCCGCTCGCGCCGCCCCGTGGGCCGTGCGGCCCGTCAGGGGCTCGCCAGCAGGGCGTGGCCTCCCCCGCGCCGCCTCGGGCAGGGGCAGCGCCGGCGCGCCCCGTCGGGCGCGCGGAAGGTGAAGAGGCCGGTGCCCTCCAGCCTCCGGACCAGCGCGGAGCCCATGGCCACCGAGGGCGTGAGCACGCCGCCGCTGCAGGAGGCCGCCTCCTCGTCCCCGCGCCCGCCTCGCAGAGCGAGGCACAGCGCGCTCTCCGCGAGCATCGCGGCGGTGGCCCTGTAGCCAGGGTCACCGAGGCCGCTCACGACCACGCGGTGCTCCTGCCCATCCGCGCTCCGTGCGAGGACGTGGAACTCGAAACTTCCGTCTCTCCGCACTGACGCGGAAGGTCCTTCGCCTGCCCGCGGGCGCAGTCGCCGCAGAAGGGATGGCGCGTGGCAGGCTGCGAACGCACAGAACCGCGCAATGGCGCCTGCGGACATCGCCTCGTCGTAGCTGGCTGCCTGGCCGCGGAGCACCAGACTGCGGCGCACCACCCGGTTGTCCACGAACGCCATGACGTACGGCACCGAGACCGCCCCGAATGCCCTGTCGAAGCCGAGCCCGACCTTGCCGGTCCACTTGCTGTCGACCCGGAGGCTGGCAGCTGCAACTGGCGCCAGCAAGTATGGGTCTGTAGCTCGGGCAGCGTTGCTAGGGTCCCGCATCCACCTGAGCACCTCCGCCGCGGAGTCGAACGAACCGCCGCTCGCCCAGGTATTCATCCTGGTACACAGTGCGCGGACCGTTCTCGGTGGCCCAGAGAGCCCCTCGATGGCCAGCATTACAGCGAGGTCAACAGGGATGCAATCCAAGCCGCAGCAGTGCACGACCTTGACACCGCTCGCGGCTGCGGCGGCGTGATGTCGATCGATGCTCTCGCGGACGAAGTTCGGCTCGCCCGTGATGTCAACATAGTGGGTGCTGGACTCAACGCACGCCGCCACGAGCTCAAGCCCTATCGAAGCATAGGGCCCGGCTGCCGTGGCAAGGACCCGACACTGCCGCGCCATGGCCCTCAGGCTGGCACCATCGGCGGCGTCCGCGACGATGGCGCCGACCCCTGCCGGCTCGCCGAGGCTGCGCAGCAGATCGCTCAGCCTTCGCTCGCTCCGCCCGGCCACGGCCCACCTCGCCTCTGCGGCCCGCGCCGCCGTGGCCAGGTACCTGGCGGCCAGCCGCCCAGTGAAGCCAGTTGCACCGAAGAGCACGATATCGTACTGACGGCCCGCGTGCTCCGTCATTGTGCAACCAGCGCGGTACCGTGCGAACGGCCTGCCTGCTCCGCCACTGCACAACCGACGCCGCCGAGGCCAGCACGAGCCTGAGCCAACACGACTACGGAGACGATCTGTCCTGCGTGCCGCGCGAAAGGGGCCCTAGAGGTTCCAGAGCACGCATTGGTCATCGTCCACACTGCGACGCCTGGGTGTAGGCAAGGTTGACCCGGTCGTCAGCCGTAATGTAGTGACAACATTGAGGATGGTGATCTACTTTCCCAACATGGTCCCCGGTGTCCCTCTGGATGCCAGCATACCCTGTGACACCACCGATGGACGGTAGAGAATGATTTTGAAGTCCCCTGCTCTCTTCCTCTACTTCCCTCCTCCATCTCCATCCCTCCTCCCCGCCCTCCTCCTTCACCCCCTACTCCTCCAGTCCATCCTCCCTTCCCTGCTCCTTCACTATGATGATCCTCCACCTCGTCCTCCGCCACTCTCCCCTCACTCTCCGTCGCGTCCCTCTCCCGCAACTCCGCAACTCCATAACCAACCCTCCTCCGTTTCCTCTTTCCTCCTCCATCTTCTGGCAGTCGACATATTACCCCTTCCCCTTCTCATCCCCCATCCTTCTCCTCCTCCTCATCAGCATCATCCTCACCAGCACCACCACCACCACCATCACCATCACAATCATTGTCATCACCATCACCACCATCACCACCATTACCACCATCAGCATCATGAGCAGCATCAAATCAAACTCATCACCAGCAGCATCATCAGCATCGTCATCAATCTCAGCATCACCAGTATCATCAGCATCATCCTCATCAGCATCGTCACAACCCATCATCATTTTCCTCCTCCTCATCATCAGCGTCATCATCACCCTCACCCTCCTCATTATCCTCGTCATTATCCTCTTGTCTGTCCCTCATCGTTCTCGTCTTAATATGCACGCTGATCCGAGTTACCCTCATCCTCCTGGTGATCCTCCCTCCCTCAATTCCTCGCTGCTTCTCGGCACCGTCACCGCAATCACCACACCACAAAAAGTTCACACTCATCTCCGCTCCTACAGCGGCATGACCTGCAAAAACTATCATACAACGCAGGCGTGTCTTCGTCAGTTGCTGCAATTCCGCCGCTCCACTGCCACGTCGACGACCAGTCTGTCCATCTACGCGCCCATCGCCGATCGTTGTTTCCCGCGCGCGTGGCGGCGGGGCGGCGAATATTTCCACACAGCGCCTCCCCGCGGTAAGACAGGTGGCGGGGAGGAGGAGGCGCGGGGCTGGGGACGAGAGGCGCATGGTGAGGACAGGGGAGGAACAACAAAATAGGAAGACGATGGCGGAAGTCGGAAGAACCCAAGGAGGAAGGAGGAGGACGAGATAAAGGTAGGAGAAGGAGGAGGAGGAGGATGAAGAGGAGGAGGAGGATCGAGGATGGGAAATGACGAGAAAAAAAGGGGAGAGAAAGGAGGCAGGCGAGGGTGAAGACGTGGAAGGAGGGAGGAGGAGGGAGGAGGGGTGAGTAGAAGGGAGGAGTGGGATGCGAGTGGAGGCGATGGGGGCGGATGAGGGGGAGGAGGAGGAGGAGGAGGAACACAAATGAGGAGGGAGAGGGGGAGCAGGAGGAAAAGGAAGACAACGAGGAGACCGAGGTTGAATCAGAGATGGTCGGCGGGGACAGAAGAAGAAGACAGCGACGACGAGAAGCAGGCGAGACGAAAGGCAGTGAGCGAAAAAGACAGACCAATGGAGAACGGAGGCGAGGCCAGGACTTGGGGTCGAGAGATCAGGGGTGCGGTGGCAGGGCGAAGGCGGGCCGGAGGAGAACGGAGGGAGGGGAGGGGGCATGCGGGAGGAGACGGGATGGACGGATGGAGGACACCCCAGATGTTGGCGCTGCAGGCAGGGAGGAGGGAGGACCCCTCGAGGAAACAGGGAGGAGGTTGGTTGGTCGGTTGGTTGGCGTCCTCCCAGCGGGGCGGCATTGCGGAGGCGCCGGCACGGCCCCCTTCGCAGAGGGCAGCAGGGCCGAAGGACAGCGACTGCCGCGACCCCGCAGCGTCCGCTCAGGGGAAGGGAAGGCACTGCCTGCGGGGCTAGGGGAAGAGGGGGAGGACAGGGGGCGAACCGAGGACCGCCCGACTGAGCCTGGCCCCGCGCTTCTCCTAGCTCCACGGAGGAGGAGCCGCTCCTTTGCCCTGGAAGTGGACGCGATGGAAAAGCTGGGAACTCCCGGGGAGGGGGGCCTAACGGTGACTCCCTCCCACAGGCACCCCCGCCCGTACTCCCAGCCGCCTCGTGTCAGCGCAGGACGCAGCTGCGAGACTGACAGAATGGAGGGAGAGGGGGTCACCCCAGGAGGGGCAGAGATTTGTATGAAGGGGCCCAAGGACACACAAATAAATACACACAAATAAACAAATTCCTCATATTTTCCCATATTTTCTGGGTTTTTGTCTTCCCCCCCACTTCTCATATTTTCCTATATTTTCTGGGAATCGACGATGAATTGTGTCTGTGTGTTTTTTCCCCTCCTGATTGTACTACTCGGCTCCAGGTGGCATGGCCCAGAATAACGCCTCCTCCTCCTCTGAGAAACTTGCCCGCGCGGCCGCCTTTTGCGTAGCCTGCAGGCAGGGCGGGAGGCTCCAGGCTGCGCAGAGGCGGCCGCGCGGGCAAGTTTGAGGCAGGGAGGAGGGAAGACCCATAGAGGAAACAGGGAGGAAGGAGGAGTCAGGGAAGAGAGAGGAGTAGTAAGGATATGACGCCGAAAACAGAGGAGGTAGAGAGACATAATGCGGATGAGGGGAGAGGAGCTCGAGTGGAGGAGAGGGATACAGAAGAGGAAGAGGAAATGGAGGAAGAGCCGCCTCCTCCTCCTCCGCCACCTCCTCTTCTACCTTCACCCTCCTTTTCCTAATTACTCTCCAGACTCCCATCTGGCACTGGGGTTGCCACCTGCAGGTCCGTTTGGGGGGCGTCTCTAGGTTGCGCTTGAGGGGAGAAGCTCATCGAGGACGCGCTTCCACAAACGAAATCTACCCCGTTAGCGGACATAACAGGTCCACCTGAAATATCACATGCCCAACGTAGTGCGCTGCCACTTCCGCTCCAGATCCCGCACACTCAGGCGGGAGCAGGGAGGGAAGGAACCACCTGGGCCTGTGCAAACGACATGGGCCGTGACCGGGGCTGATCATCACGTGGAGGGGGCAGCTGCAGAGGAGAAGGCGCCACGCGCGGCGCCCTCACGCGGGCCTGGGCTTCTTGCCCCGCCGCTTGGCAGCCTCCCGGCGCTTCTTGGACATGGCGCCCATCTTCCCGTCCCGCTCCGGCCCGAGGCCCTTGTGCCCCTCGTTGCCCGCGTAGAGCAGCGTCAGGTCGAAGCAGAGCTCCGAGTTGGGCGGCACCTCTCCGGCAGAGAAAAAGGAGGCCGCCCGGCCGCCGCCGGGTGGCGGCGGGGCGGCGCTGCCAGCGACGGGCGTCGGGCGGCGAGCTGCGAGGGGGCTCCGAGGGAGGCTTGGACGCCCATTCCCCGGGTCGTGCGGTCGGTGTCGTGCGTTCTTGTGTTGTTCCCTCGCCCTCATTCTTCCAGACCTTCCGTGCTGACCTTCCACACACATGCGCTTCGTGAAATGCTTAGTTTCTTGCGCTTCCTGAGGCTTTCAATAGTTACAATGCATCACCTTCCGCGCCTTCCGCAGAGGTCGGAAGGTATGGAAGATGGAGGTGGAGGGTTAACTATAGATGATCCAGGATGCTCCCGGAGAGGGCTCCGACGTGCCTGCGCCGGCCTCGCCGACGGAACATGTAGGCACACGTCCGAGCGGCCTGCCGAGCGCAAAAGGGGAGGGCAGAGGGCGGGGGGAGGGCAGCGGGAAGGCGGAGAGGTGGAGGACAGGGGCGGGGGGGGGGTAGGCCGGCTACAGGGTAGTTTATATATATATATACATACATGGGATTTTAAAAGGATTTTAAATACATGCTCGATGTATGAAGGCATGTATGCATGAACTCATCGTGGTTTTTGATCCTAAATCCCTGCATCTTTTAAGACATGATCCGCACGCGGAGCATGTATCAAAAACGGCCCTGTAGGGCGGGGGGGGGCCCAGCGGGCGGCGTTCGCATCCTCAAGCACGTTCGCTGCTGGTGAGGCCGACCCAGCAGGAGGGGGCCCCCGCGACGGAACACCCCCACGCCGACCGCTGTGCCTCCAGGCGGGCAGTTCCGTGGCCACCTCTCGTGCCAGGAAGGCCCGCGACGAAAGGGGAGGAGACGGGAAGGAGGAGAGAGTCGCGGGAGGGGGGAAGTGGGACGGGCAGGAGACGGCGAAATGAGGCAGACGGTGCGGGGGAGGGAAGGGATAGGAAGTTGGACGGGAGGCGGGGCGGAGAGGGGTGATGAGCGCCCAAGGGGCAATATATATATATATACATATTTATATATATATATATATATATATGTATATCTATATATATATATATAGAATTGAACATGTACGATGGCAGGGAAACAGCAACAGACCAGGGTAAGGAATGGCAGAAACAACAGCAGCATTAGCGGCGAGAACACGAGTAGGAGGGGAAGGAGGAGCACGATGAGTACGATAAGGGATGGGAGTCCCACCAGCCCTCTGGGCGTAGGTGGTCTAGGATTGCTTCTCTTCCGACACCCTTCTTCCCCTTCGGGGAGGGGTTGACCCCTTCGCCCTACCCCCTCCCCCTGGACCTGGACGGGGGTGGTCGCGGGCAGTTGGAGCGTCCAAGATGGCCGAAGACGGCTCCTCCTCCTCCTCATCCTCCTCCTCATCGTCTTGCTCTTCCTCCTTGTCTTCCTCTTCCTCCTCATCCGACGACGACGACGAAGACGACGACGACGATTCCTCCTCCATCCTCCCCCTCTTGGAAGTTATGACGGCTTTCCCCGCCCTTTGTTTTTTTCTGCATGCTCCCCTACTTCCCTGATCACCTCAACTCCTCTGGGCATCGTTTCTGGATGGACTTGTGAGGATACGCTGAGCGTCAGTCATTTCAGGCAGGTGACTATGAGGAGGAGAAGGAGGAGGAGAAGGAGGCAACGTAAGGTCTGGCCATCTGAATAAGGAGGAGGAGGAGCAGCAGCAGCAAGAGGTAGCGATGAAGAGGAGGGGAAGGCCCTTCTTGCACCCGATGCGCCGCTCTCACCTCGGACCCCGCGCAGCCCCCCCCCCTCCCCCTCGCCTGCGCGCCTCGCGCTGTGGCGCTGCCCGGCCCGCCCGCCCTCCCCCCACGGGGCCTCCTCGGGCCGGGCCCC